AAAAAGTTACCTTGACGTTAATATGCACTGATTAGCAATCTGTTAGTTCCTCATATCTCTCATGTAACAATCCTACTTGTTTTTGTTTTTACATTTGTATCACTTCAAAGAAATATCAATTTGATTGCTTTCTCATGAAATCCATCTAAACATCTAGATTTAATTATTATTTTGAATTTAATTAATCAGATTCACGAGAAAACGGCTAATTCATGTTGGTGAGAGGAAATGAATTTTTCCTAATGTTAGGGTTCAAAGTCTTCTATTGTCACTTCTATTGTCAGCATATTAATCGGTTTTCAGACTGCATTGCTCCGATCCATAAAACTATGTCGAGAAGTTCCGTCTACAAAAGTGGAGTTGCTCGGACCAATGCGGACACGAGTGACGATGACTGTAGGAGATATGACCGCAGAAGTAAGTGTTTCGAAGTATAGGACCATCATTATGACACTGTAAAATTCGCTGATTTACATGATTGTGATTCGATTCAGATATGCAGGATTTATTGAGTATTTTAAGAATCCATATTCACTTTATTTCATAGTTATTCTCAGGTTATTGCGAACGGTAGCAAGATCGGACAACAGCATGCAGCGCAAAATCTTCTCAAACAAATGCATCCAGAGGTTTGTGCATTCTGATCGGTAACAAACTCATATCTCTGGACAGATTTCGATTGTTTATTGTGCTGATTTAAGCCTTCCCAAAATTTGATAGCTTTGTACAGCTGAGTTTCGGCCTTTTCACCTTCTTCGGAGCCTGAAAGGCTTGAGATTGATCCTCACGGAAGATCAGACCGTACTTAAAGCAGTCGCCCAAACTCGTAGATTCTCCTGAGCTCGATCAGTACAAGATTTTAATCGATAATCCTGAGGTTGCAGAGTTAATTTAAAAATACATTTGTCACTGACAATCCCTTCAGTTATAAAATCACATCAATGGCTTGGAAAGAAGGTTTTCGGGCCCGTTGTACTTGTAAGCGATCGTCTATAGACGGTTGCTCTTCATGAGATATGTTTCTACTGGTGGCTTCACATTCTTAGTCGATGACTTCCCAAAGCGCTGTTGAGATGGTTGAGAATTAGGTGAGCTACCGAGAATAGTTCGTTCTAGTAGGTGGTGCTAGATTTTTAATTGAATAATGAAGTGGCATCGCCGTTGTCGAAACTCGAATCGGAGGAATTCACCTAAAAGAAGCCAAACATAAACAAAACACAAACAATAACAACATGAAATTTAAGACATGTGGTCAATGCAGGAATACAAAACTCAAGGACTTCAAGCGTAGTAATGGCTTTTCGCGGGCTTATGTATTGCTCGGCGATACGATCCATTGAAATATATGGTAGCGCTGAGTGATCCCACTGCTAGCTAGTTAGAAGTGTGCACGTTCGTTTGCTGGAGAAGCGTCCATTACTAGCTGTAGATTTACAAGGATCGGCGTGATTTTCAAATAAATGTATCATGCTTTAGCAAAGCTATCCGTCAGAAATTAGTTAGAGCGATTATCATCGTCAAGAGGGAGTCTGCGAAGGAAGACGGACAATTTTTCGTTGGCCAGCCGGATCGCAGCGCTCATGCGGTGTGGGCGACAAATCAAGCTGCGATTTACTATAGAATAACTGAAACGGGTCCCCTGCTCAAATGACCTGATTGCTTTTTGTCTGTGCTCAATTTAGAGGTCCTCTGGATTTGCCTAGATTTTGCTTTTTTCGTTGAAAAGCTCGTCTTAATTCAACCTTTGTAGCGGAAAACTCAAGTACAGTGGCATTTGTTATGAGTGTCGTTATACTTGCCGGTTACTAGTTCAAGTTTGAAAAGGTCCCTACGATATTCTGAGAGGTTTGCATAATTTTTCTCTCTCTGGGCTGTCTTGCAATGTACCTTAGAAAGAATATTTGACGCCTTTGGACGGCATCCATTTCGTGGCCTGACCTTTTGTAGCTAGTTTCCAAGTAACCAGGAAATCAGATTATCTGGGTATCAACGCCATGTACGCACAACATACGTGACACTGCTTCATTATCCCCTCGAAAAATTGATATACTCTCCTCTCGGCCCGGTCGCAGACGAAATTCGCAACGACGTGAGGCACTGAACGGATCCAGCAGTTGCGAGCGTAACCGCCTGAGAAGTGTAACCAGTTAAATAAATGTTTAAAATCAAAATAATGGAACACAATTCGGTCCTCGTTTTCCTGTCCCTTACAAATAATTTCAACTGATTTGGGAGAGCCCTTTCCATCTAGGCTCTCCAGCGTTCCCGGTTAGCTGTAAATCGACTAAATGTGTTGGTATCCACCTTCAGGGTGCCTTCTCATCGTAGCTTCGACCAACCTCAAGAAGGAGTTCTCGTGAATGAAATACTTTTGGCTTTTCCTGAAAGTCTCCATAAACTGTCGATTTCCTCGGAACGTCGGAAGTAAGGTTTAGCTGGCTACAACGAAATGCTCCATCTGGGCCAGGTGGCCTCTTTTGAAAGCGGACATGTTTGTTCCAGGTTCGAACAAAATTCAAGCAGCTCATTGTAGTAGAGAACGAAATGGTGAGGCCATTACCTAGGATATTTGGTGCTATTGTTTCCACCTGTGTTTGCCGGAAGTTGTGGAGACGAGTAGGAGAGTAGAGAAGAATCTCTTTCATTGAAGCTTCGAGATTCTGAGTACTGCTTCGAGGTCTGAGCAATTGCTCTGTTCATCGGGCTTAAGAAAACACCCTTTCTCACTGAAGCCGTAATGAAGCAATTGTAATCCAACAAGGTCGCGAAAGTAAACTAACCGTAAACTCCTGAGTGTCATTTTTGGTAGTAAAGAAGTTGTTGGAAAATTGCTCCCAAACATTGTATTTTATTCAAGACAGGCCCAATCCCTAGGATCTATTTGTTTCTCTTTCATACGTCTCATAGACTGTATTGACAACTGAATGGTAATTCGATAGGCCATCCTGACCCTGGGGTAAGCGGTGAACCAACAACCTTGTAACGTTGTCGCGCCATGTTTATTGTTTATCGTCGGCTTGTATTTGTTTGGGGAAATCCTTTGCCATCGACAGAGATTGCCAAGTTTATGAACAGAATATATTTCTAGACTCCTTCCATTCCACTTTCCTGTTCTTATCGAAATAGAAGCATCAAGAGGGAACAACTCTGAAGAGTACCAAGTTATACAAAACCTTTTGTCTTGTCATAGTCTCTTCGTCTTTTGTGATTAACTAAAAGGCGAAGGAGAAGAATACTTTTTTGAATTAACTCGGGAGTTTTTTTTTTCTTAAGGTCAACTCATTTCTTAAGATATTCTTAAAAGCTTCCTCTAAATTGAACGGGGAATGGAGCCTAGCTTGGCTCAGATGACGCCTTGTATGTTTTCGTTGCACTTCGGTTGCTATTTTTTTTTATTATTTAACAGTTAAAGGCACTGTTCTCGAAAAAAAAA